ATAACATTTTCTCTTTGGTCTGCTTTATAAATAACATTTTCTCTTTGGTCTGCTACAGAGTTACATTATCTAGCTCAAGCTGTCCTCTGACTCTGGACCCTTTTGTCTCAACCTTCTAAGTGCTGTGCAAACACCACCATATCCATGTATAACTAGTTTGTATTTCGCATAGTCTTTTTGTATGCATCGAGTATATTTACCAAGAAAATAAAGAGAGAGAAAAAAAGAACTAGAGAAAAGCAATAGAAATCAAATTAACAAGATTTCTTTGAGAGGAGAAAACAACCCATCAGCAGATGATGAATCCATTGTGAACATGAGCATTTAGGTGAAGAAAAACAAAGAATACACATTCCTCAGTACTCTTTGTGTTTGCTTATGGGACTGTCCTAATATTTGCAGGTTTTGTCTGGCAGTAAGACATGGATTAAAACATACACAAACATGCCACAAGCATGCACACACACACACACACACACACACACACAAAATAAATACGTATAAGAAATAAACAAAAACACAGCTTTGATAGCTCCCTTATTTTTTCAATTCACAGGCTCGTACAGACTTAAATAAAACAGAAAAGGGTGCCACGCTGTTTACCACCTTTCCTGATTGGTAGCTGATGTGTCTTGACATATCCGTCTTGCCAATCACTTTACTATATTGTGTCACCAGATTTAGTAATCACTCCAGCTATCTTAAAAAAAATCAGCGCCACATTAAACCAGCTGTAACTAGGTGAAAGGGAAGCAAACAGTGCTGTCTTATATAGGCCAGAGGGCAGCCTGAGGGAATTGGTTCTCTCCACCTTGTGGGTTTGTGGGAATCTAACTGAGGTCACCAGGCTTGGTGCCAAGCACCTTAACCCACTGAGGCATCTCACTATCCTTAAAGCTCTATCAAATGGGCTGATCTCAGTTTTATTTGAAAACCATGTTTATAGAAGTGGCCATGTATGAGTTCAAGTTCTGTTTGAGCAGAAAGAGCCCTGGAGTTTTTAGGTACAGAATGTCTTGTAGGATAGAAGAGTGATCTGGCTGTGACATATCACCCAGTGAGTGCCAGGGTAGATTCAGCGATCTAGTTGGCCAGGCTAATGCTCTCTTCTCCTTCCTTCCAGAAGTTGTGGGCATGGGGAAAGAGGATGAGTTTCTCTGATAAAGGAGGTCTGACTCTTTAGTCTTCTCTCATGTATTCCACAGTGACCAGCAGTTTCCTCTCCCTCCTCTCCTCCCAGACCCTCTTCCTTACCTCCGTCTCTCCCAGATACCCTCCTCCTCTGTTTCCCTTCAGAAAAGGGTAGGCCAAGTAGGTCTGACTTTAGTCAAAAGCATGTGAACAGCTGCCCATCCCTGCTGGACCTTCAGATGAACTCTCAAGGTGATGTGTTTCTCAAGCTAGACCATGGCATTTAGGGGTCCTTGCAGAAGAAGGTTTACTAAAGAGCTGTTGTCTTTGTGGTGAGTAGGGCTGATGTATCTGAATGCAGTGATACACAGGCAAATACTTGACATGAAAGTACAATAGTCTTATGATAATGTGTTACTGCTTAAGGAAGCCAGATATTAACTTCTAATAACAAGATATTAACTTCTATTTAACCAAATGGTAAAGGTAGTATTTGTTTTAAATTAGTTTGTTCATCACAGAACTTTTTTTTTCTCAACCCAGGGTTTGACAACTGGATGTGAGAATCGAACCGAAGCTCACTGTGTCCAGCTGGTTGGCAGAGCGCTTCCCTAGCACAGAGGAAATTGGCTCTATTGGTACACACCTGGGATTCAAGCACTCAGGAGGCAGGAGGACCAGAAGCTTAGGTATAAGGGGTTCAGGGTCAGCCTAGGCCACATGAGACCCTGCCAAAAGCAAAAAACCAAACTCAATGTGTTGAACTATATTCTACTGAAGATTGGATATTGCAGTAGATGACAGAGCTGTTAAGAAAAGCTAATGAAGGATTGGGCTCATGTCTCAATTATTAAGCTATGATGGTATTCTTAAAAACACCCAACTTCTATGAAGTTCCCTAATTATGAAAATTTCTTTTACACAGTGAACTACTCCTGGTTTTGCTGTGAAAATTGACTATGGATTTGTAGAAATTTGTATCAAAATGTAGAAAAACTGCCAATGAACATCAATGGAAATCTTTGTGTACTATTACAATGTAATGTTAATTCACGTTGCTTACATTAAAGACTATTTTCAACTTTAAATCTTTTAAATAAATGATTCTGAAGACCCAATGTGGTTGTGTCTGATTCTCTACATGTCTTTTTTTCCTTCCTTCCCTCCTTCCTTCCTTCCTTCCTTCCTCCCTTCCTCCCTTCCTCCCTTCCTCCCTTCCTCCCTTCCT